TGGCAACCTACAGTATTGTGAGAATTAATGGAATCATAGGCTGTTTTAATGAAAAAACAGTTTATTTAGTAATAAATTATATTTTGATAAAACTATAAAGGTAAACTTACATCATTCAGTAGAAAATATGTCCCCCTTTGGCAGCAATTACTGCTTTTACCCGTTTTGGCATAGATTCTATGAGTTTCTGGCAGTTGTCAGATATCTTTTCATCTCGATACCAAACCTGAATGGCCGCTTTTATCATTTTTGTTTTAGTGGTACAGTCGATTTTTCGCAGTCTAGCTTTGCAAATGGCCCATAAATTTTCAATGGGGTTGAGGTCGGGCAAATTACCGGGCCAATCTAAAACATTAATCTTCTTATTTTTGAAAAATGCCATCATTTCCTTTTATTTGTGACAGGGAGCAGAGTCCTGTTGAAGAATCGCTCCTCCTTGGAGTTGACATTTTTGGAGTTGTTTGTCCAAATACTTTTCCAACATGGATTTGTATTTTTGGCTGTTCATCATGCCTTCAATTGGCATCAAAGATCCAACCCCCATGTATGAAAAACATCCCTAAAACATTTTCTTGACTGGATGTTTTACGATTTGATCAATATGAGATGGTGTAAGCTTTTTATTGTCAGACTTCCCGACGAATTTCGACCGCTGTCCCTGAACTATTAAGTGGGTTTCATCTGTAAATAGGACTTTTTTCCAGTCGCCTACAGTCCAATTAGAGTATTTTTTGGCCCAAAGTAGCCTTTGTTTCTTCATTCGTTCAGTTAGAAGCTGTTTTTTCTGTGGACGAATTGCCCTTCTACCATTCTCCAAAAGTCTTCTACGAACAGTTGAGTCATGAATCACTATAGTTGATGCTGCTAGATCTTATTGTAGGTCTTGGCTTGAGTCCAATTTGCTCTTTCGAAGTAAAAATCTATCATCTGCTGGTGTTGTTTTTCTCTTTCTTCTACATTTTCCTAACCTTTTCACATCCACTGATCCTGTTTCTCGTTTACGCTTCAAAATTTTGCTTACTACTCCCTGACTCACTCCACACGTTCTAGCAATCTCTCTTTGTGACATACTAGTGTGTTCACTCAACGTGACAATCTTTTCACGCTTCCTAGGCGTAATATCCATGTTAGAATAAAACTAAAAACAACACAAAATAGTACAAAAACCCCCAAAACAACACAAGCTTGGCAAGAAATGACCTAAAACACACTCAAACACACCAACACACAGTAAGGTTATGTTTTCAATGCTTGGTAAGCTGTCAACTGTTGAGGTAGTGTTGCCAACTGTGAATATTGCAAAAATGAAAAAAAAAATTCACAGTGATTCTATTAATTCGCACAATACTGTATTAACAATGTATTCTCCTAATTTCAAAACTATTTAAAAATGTTAGTTTGATTAAATAAATTATGAACGTAGTGATCTTGCAGTGGAATCTTGTACTATATGTGTATTTTTGAGATTTAAAAGGTAAAAGGCAGTGACCAGATAATGCTGTTTTTCCACTTTTAACAAATATCTATTCTCCAAGAATACTTCCTTTATCTCTGTTTTGGTGTAATAAAGAATATTTACCCCAATTTTTTCCTTACGACCACCACTGCGTCCTGTGGTGTGGAGAGTGGAAAGTGGCAGAGTGGTGTAACGTTCCTGGGCGCTATTTCGGAAGATACATGTGTCGAAGCGGAAATAAAAAGTGTGAGGTGGATGCCGATAGTTATGCCACCGTTGTGATCTGGAATTTTTGTATTAGTTGGGACGGATGCATGAGACGGCTGAACGGAACGGGGTAATAATGTCCTATGGAATTGACCGATGGAAACTATTTGTTTGGGGTGGTTCAGGAATACGTTACATATTTTTCTTTTGAATATGTCATTACTTAAATTTTAAAATTATATGGGCTATCTTTTGAATACGATGGATCTATTTGTATTAAAACACTTTAAAATATTATCTATACGAGGATTTTTCGATATTTCTGTGGATTATCAAACATATGACAGACATATGAAGGCGCTGGCAGGAATTTGATATATAATTTACTAATTTGGTGGTGATTTACTTCCCATTTAATTTAAAAAAATGTTACAATTTTTATTAGTTCAATATAATAGAATTACAAATGAACTCTAAGTTAAATATTTTGTACAAATAAATAGTTGTTTGTACAAAATATTAAAAGTTGTTGTTACAAAATAAATATATCCAGCAAATAAACAAAGAATAAGGAATCTTAAGTCTATAATAGATTACGTGATAGTTAAACAAAATTCACAAATACTCATTAGAGATATTAGAGCTATGAGAGGAGCAGTATGCGGATCAGATCACCACATGGTCAGGGCAAAAATTGTTTTCCCATATAGATTAAAGGGCAGTGTCTCATCAAACCAAGACGAACAACATTTAGAAATAATTGATCTTCCTCAATACAATATGTCCAGTTTAATTCATGAGAACACCCGTACACTATATAAGACTCGAATGGACTCCAAACTTGACGAAACACTAATAAATACCAAATGCATATATAAGAACATAATATCAAGTATTTATCAAACAGCACAGGAGGTCTTAGGAATCAAACAAAAAAAATTAGTAACAAGCTTTGGTGGAATGAAGACGTCGAAAACGCGGTAACAGAAAAGAAAAGATTATACCATAAGTGGTTGAATACAAAAGATGACGCAGACAAAGACCGATACAATGAAATGAAGAAGAAAACTAGAAAGAAAATTATGACCTCCAAAAATGAGATATGGGACAGAAGGTACAGAGAGATAGAATCTTATAGTAGAGGACGACAATGCACTGAGGCGTGGAAGTTTATAAATTCTGTTAAGAAGCCGACTAACGAGAAAGTGATTCTAAATCTCATAAATCCCGAGGATTGGACAAATTATTACAAACATCTATTAAATGAGAACAGAGACGAATTTAAAGAAGATATGAATTCATCAAGAATCGAAATTCTGGGAGAGCATATTACCATAGATATCAACATAGTTCAAAAAGCTATAGCAGGGATAAAGAATGGGAAAGCAAGTGGACCAGAGGGAGTAACTACGGAAATAATAAAGAATGGCTTAGAGAAATTACACAGAATAATCACGGTGATATTTAACGAATATATTAATGGACATCCGACGCCAGATGAATGGAAAACAGCATATATGACCCCAATATATAAAAAAGGTGACAGGAGAAATTGTAAGAACTATAGAGGGATATCGGTCACAAGTTCAATGAGTCGACTATACCGTCGAATACTACGGGACCTGATAGAGGAAGATTATCAAACGTCTGAAGACGAAGAACAAGGAGGATTTAGAGCAGGTCGTTCATATACAGATAACATCTTCTGTCTTAGACAAATTATAGAAAAGAAAATTGTGACAAATAGAGAGTTACATATAACTTTTGTAGATCTTGAGAAGGCATATGACACAGTCTCTCTAAATAAACTATGGGAAGTCCTGGGCACGTTAAACATACATCAAACATTGGTTAGTGCTCTCAAAGATCTATATTATGATTCAAACTCCCAAATGAAATTCGGAAACCTCTTAGCTGAAAAATTTGCACTTACTAAGGGTCTCAGACAAGGATGTTGTATATCTCCGACTCTATTTAAGATTTATATCTCTGCAGCTTTAAAACAATGGAAAAGGAAAGTCAAAGGAATGGGTATACAATTGAACGATCAGGATTACATACATACTTTACAGTTTTCAGATGATCAGGTGGTGATCTCAAATGACAAAGACGACATGGAATACATGCTTAGAAAACTAATTGGAGAATACCAGAAATGGGGATTAAATATCAATTTAGAAAAGATAAAATACCTCTCAATTGGAGCTGAAGCATAACAACTCGATATCGATGACAATCAAAAAATAAATCCATGTGACGAATATAAATACCTGGGCGTCATCTTCGATCGTAGTGGAAAAGACGAACAAGAAATAGAACATCGAATTGTACAAGCACGAAGAGCTATAGCATGTTTGAACGGAGTTCTATGGAGTAAATAAATATCAAAGAAAAGGAAATGGAACATCTATGAAACAATGGTTAAAACTAGCCTACTTTATGGAGCTGAGACATGGAAAATAACCGAGAAATATAAGAAAAAGGTCGAAGCCACGGAAATGGATGCCATCAGAAGATCGATGAGAATATCAAGAGCCGACAGAATACGGAATGAAGTGATAAAACAACAAATGGGTATAGAGGGCACTATAGTTGAGGATATTGAGAGAATCTACTCCAATGGAATATCGATGGACGCTTCCATCGACTTGCCTTTTTACAGAAACTCATCTCTGACCATTGCCCAGATATAATAGGTATCCAAGAAACTAATATTATTCCAAAGAAAGTAGTAGTTAGTAAAAAATTACAATCCTAAGCAGTTCAATTGTTTTAGAAATGACAGAATAAGCAATTGTAATAATTATTCTTCTGGTGGGGTTGCTACTTTGGTTAAAAAATCTTCTGTAGCAAGCCTATTACCCGTAAACACCACACTTAAAACAGTAATAATAAAACTTGTAGTACCTTCAGCTCTCTACATCTGTAATATTTATTTACCACCATGGGAGTGCAACATATACTTTTAATAACATAAATAGTCTTATCGAACAAATACCCTCTCCTTGTATTATGGTCCGTGATTTTAATGGTCACAATAACATATGGGGGTCAGTACGTACAGATAGTAGAGGTAAATTACTGGAAAAATTAATGTCTAAGTTACAGCTCAACTCACTTAATGATGGAACTCCTACACGGTTTAACATTCAGACGGAAGATTCATCTGCAATTGACTTAGGTTTTTGCGATCCAGTTTTGTCTTATCAGCTCTTGTGGGAAGTCCTACCATATACATATAGTAGCGACCATCATCCCATTATTATCCGAAATTTTACTAGACAACAATCTACCCCCGAGTTTTTACCCAAATGAAAAAGATTTCATCGATAAATCTATGGAAAACTTTATTGTAAAAAATAATATCAATGATACTCTAGAAGACTTCAATAATATCATTATACAGAGTACAAACCAGTTTATAGGTAAAACAAAACCGCCAAAAAATCATACACCCGTAGCATGGTGGAATCCTGACTGCAGTGAAGCGATTAGGGCAAGTAAAAAAGCTTTTGATAGGTATAAAAAAACATTAAAATCTAGAGAATAAGATTGCATATAAAAGACTTAAGTCTAAAACCCAACTATTAATTAAACAAGCAAAAACATCCAGTTAGATGAAATATGTTTCTAATAAACAGCTCCACCTCAATAAGTGAAGTTTGGAAAAAAATTCGCAATATTTCCGGTTTCAACAGCCACGTACAGTATCGAGCCTAAAAGTAAGTAACCAAATAATTACATCACCAAAAGAAATTGCCAACACACTGGCACAAAATTATTGAAAAATATCTTCCAATGAAAACTATGACTCTGTTTTTCTAGATAACAAAATACAATCCGAAAATCATAACACACTTATGAAATTAACAATAATCCTCTAAATCTTTCTCTAACGCTTCATGAATTGAATGATTCACTTAGAGATTTGAAGGATACTAGTCCTGGACCAGATGATATACCATCTATTTTTTTAAAACAACTTCCTAATTTATCCATAAAAGTTATGCTACAGATATTTAATTTCATATGGCAGCAACACCAGTACCCCACAATTTGGACTAAGGCTATTGTTCTCCCTTTTCTTAAACCTCAGTGTCCCCGTCTAGACCCTGAATCTTACAGACCTATAAGTTTGACGTGCTCCATGGGAAAATTACTAGAAAAAATTATCAATACATGGCTCACCTGGACACTTGAAAGTTCAAATTTACTAACAAATCGTTTTAGCAAAATGGTTTTAGACAAAATCGATCAGGCATAGATAATATACTAGATTTATATATATATATATATATATATATATATATATATATATATATATATATATATATATATATATATATATATATAATATATAAATACGTAGACAAGAAAGAAAATGCAAATTATAGATTTTTCATTTTCATTTCTCTCATCCTTGTATACTTGTATATATCTGTGTATCAAACTTGTATGTTTCTGTATTATGGAGCTACCCTATATATACTTGAAATATTTTTCATTTAAAATCTTTCAGATTCTAGCCGGTATATGCGAAAAGTGTTCCATATTTTATCAGAGAAAATATTATTTGTGTAGAAGTTGGTAAAGATGAAATTGGGTTTTGGGGTAGAGTCTCAAATTTCTCCATTTCCTGAGGTATAAATTATTTGAGACATTTAATACAGAGGCCAAATTTCTTTAATAAAAATTCGAACTTATCAGTGGTAATTTGAATAAATTAAATTTAAAAAAATTTTATACATGTAATAAATTTTAAAGAAAATTATGTTATTTAAGATACGGTTAAAAAAATTGTTTTATTTTCCGAATTAGAACGGTGTAAACATTCAGGCAATTAATAAAACAATTAGAGAGACTTGTTATTTGAGTAAAAAGTGAGAAAGGGGGAAAGATGGATTAAATAATGAAAAAGGTGGAAAGGCCGGCTAAAAATTAAATAAATTACAAAACTTCGAAAGAAACTAAAGAAGAGTCTTGAAATGCTGGTATATTAGAAACACCAATTAAAGAAAGGAAATCAAACAGATATCTGCCTATTAACTAAGATAAAGGGGTGATAAAGTTGTTGAGTATTCCATGCAATGACGAGCAGACTCTACAGGAGGGACAAATAGTAGGTAGAACAGAAAGAAGAAATAATTGATCCGTGCAGATCAAATTGACAACAACAAAGTGCTGAATGCATATTTTGAAGACAAAGAACAAAATTATCAGTGGATCTAGAAGACATCTAAGGAGAATATTAACCAAAGAAAAAGTATAAAGGATGAAGCATGGTAGGGAAAATGGAAATAAGGTCTTTGGCTGACTCAATAAACTAATAAGAATTGAAGCAGCTAATACAGCAAGGAGCTCAAGCTCCAAAGAAATAGCTATAAAAAAGATTTAACCAGAGCATCTTCTTCTTCGGGTGCCGTCTTCAATGAAGGTTGGCGATAACCTCAGCAAAATCATTTCTGTCCCTGGCTTTTCTTATTAAAGATTGAGAATCCAAACCAGTCCACTCACGAATGTTTCCACTCACGAAACCGGACCACGTTTTCCTTCTACCTTCCCCTCTATAAGAAGCTGCAGTAGCTGGTATTTCTCATTTCTGTATATGTGTCCCAAATATAAGGTTTTCCGTGTTTTCATTATTTTTAAGAGTTCTCTGTCGGTACCCATCTTGTGTAGGACCTGCTCGTTGCTCATATGCGCTGTCCAGGGGACTTTCAGCATCCTTCGAAATAACACATTTCAAAACTTTACAAACGCCTTAGTGAGTTGATTTTTGAAGGTCCAGGCCTCCATTCCATATAGTAAAGTGCTGTAAACGTAACATTTCAGCATTCGGTATCGGATTTTGAGATTGAGTGTTTGGGACGTAAACATTAGTTTCATTTTTAAAAAGACATTTCTTGCTTGTTCAATTCGCGATTTTATTTCTATGTCTGGATCTATATCTTTCGTTATCCAGCACATTAGATATCGAAATTTCTCGACATTTTCGATAATGTTACCATTCACGTTTAAAGCCATGGGTGGATGGATGGATGTTTTGGAGACAATCATTGTTTTTGTTTTCTTGACGTTAATGCTGAGGCCGTATTGTTCTCCGATCGATCTGACGCGATCTAAGAGTGTCTGGAGATCCTGTGCGCTCTCTGCAATTAGGACCGTGTCGTCGGCGTATCGTACATTATTTAGAACTCTGCCGTTAATTTTAACACCTTCTCTTGATTGCTCTAGTGCTCGTGCAAAGATTTCTTCCGAATATATATTGAAAAGTAGTGGTGACAATACACACCCCTGTCGTACACCTCGCTTGATATTGAATATTTCTGTGTCACCGGCTTCTGTTCTAACTGCTGCAGTTTGGTTAAAATACAGCGTTTGGATAATTTTAAAATCGTTTTCGTCTAGTCCCTTTTTGTGAAGGCAATCCATCAGCTTATCATGTTTTACTTTGTCGAAGGCCTTTTGATAGTCAATAAAATATAAAAAGAGATCCTTTTTTTTGGTCTCGACATTTTTGCAGCAGTATAATAAAACTGGTTAATGCTTCCCGTGTCCCAAATCCATTTCGGAAGCCAAATTGTTCATCACTGATATCCTGTTCACATTTCTTATAAATGCGTTGGTGAATAACTTTCAAGAATAACTTTAACATATGCGACATTAAACTAATAAGTCTGAAATCACCACACTTCTTTGCTCCCTTAGTTTTTGGAAGGGGAATAAAGACTGATTTTAACCAGTCTTGTGGAATTTCACCGCTTGTATATATTTGATTAAATAATTTGACGATTATATTTAAATGTTGTTCTTCCAGTAGCTTTATGACTTCCGTATGTATGTCATCGGGGCCAGGGGCTTTCCCATTTTTTGCGTTTTTGATTGCTCTCTCTACTTCTTGTTTTAATATAGGAGGACTGGTTTCATGGTTTTTATATATTATGTTGTTTAGTGGTGTGTCCGAGAATAGTTCTTCTATGTAATGTCCCCATACGTTGTTTAGATCGCTTAATTCCCATATCGTTTCATTCTCGTCGTTTGTTAATCTACAAGGGAGTCTTTGTTTTGTCATTCCAGCTAGATCTTTTATTTTTTTGTGAAGCGTTTGACTGTCGTGTTTCTTTATTAATTCTTCGATCTCTTGGCAGTTTTCTATCATCCAATTTTCTTTTGCGGTAGCTATTTCTTTCTTGATTTGACGATGTATCCCCCTATATTTTTTATTATCTTTATTTTTGTAGGCTCTTCGAGTATCCATCATTCCCAGAATTTTTTGTGTCATCCAGGGTTTAGATTTTCTTTTGTTATTAGTGTCTTTTATATATATTTCTCGGCGCTAGTAAAAGCATTCTTTACTTCAGTCCATAAGCCTTCTGTAGTTGGTGATAACTCTCTTTGGAGTCTTTCACATTCCTCGTTGAGTTTAGTCTTTACCATACGTTGTATATTTTCTTGTTTAAGTAAATTGATGTCGGTTTTTCTTTTGACAGTCTTTTTTAGCATTTTGAACTTTATTTTTAATTTAGCCACTATTAGGTTATGATCCGATGGAACATCTGCGCCTGGGTATGTTCTTGTATCCGTTACTGCATTTTTATATCGCTGGTTTATAATAATGTAATCAATTTGATTTCGGACACAATTAATAATAATAATTTATTCAACAATCATACAAAATTTGTTTCAATAATTAACAATATGTGAATAAATTAACCCGTAGGTCTCCGAGAGGTGTGGGGACACCTGTTTCGGTAAATGTAACATATAATAAATAAAAATACAATATAATATACTACTAAAGTATCAATATATACACACATATATACACACATATATGCACATACACACACATACACATACATACACACATATACACATATATACATACATACATACACACATACATATATACACATATATACATACATACACACACACATATATACACATATATATATATATAATATAAATATAACCATAAAAAACAAGCAGATTGAAAATTTAGATACAATAATCAAAGATGTATAATAAAATTAAAAACTTAGATACTAATAAGTTTTTAACGAGATCTGCAAATACACAGATTATGTTCTGGTAAATATGCTAAATAAAATAAACAATACAATACAATAATATATACTGCTTTTTGAATCATAAAATAACTATAATTAAAATTTTAGTAGAAACCCTTGATATGAATACAGCACTTATGTATGAATCGATTAGTTAACAAGATTTTTGAAAGGACAAAAGTGTAAACACACATGCTTCAATATAAATATGATAAACACATTAAATAAAACAATAGAAACAACACGATATATTAAATTTTAAAAATATTATTTTTTTTTTTTTTTTTTTTTTTTTTTTTAATTATCTTTGAAAGGAGTAGATTTAAAATTAAAGTTTTTTCTTTAAGAAAGTTTAAGTGAATATGGCTTTATAACTTATGCTACTATAATGATATTACAAAAATGTCTTGTCTGTTCCATGAGATATAATCTTAATTTATTTTTAAAGAGAAAGACATTCTTCGTATTTTTAATATCA